TTCACCTGGAGGGACTTTATATTACAACCTACTTGCGATGGCCTCCAACCTACTAGCGATGGGAGACTAGAAAGGGAATCACGCTGAGACAGAATCTTTTTCTACGCAAACATGGACAACCCAGCAGCTCTACTGTTTGGGGAAAGCGGAGAGAGAAGAGGAAAGAATGTGGAACAAATTAAAGAGTAGCTGAGACAATCAAATGCAAGTTGCTGCAAGTCGTCTTGTCTCAACACTTTCGCAACCACCAGCCACTGCCTGATCGCTGGATTGGAAGATGCCTGAAAGACTGGCCACAACTTGCACGTAGAAGATGCCAGTGCACCGTCTCGGCCTCATGTTTTCCTGGGTGCCTGACGCGGCTCATTCTTCGTGGTTCTTTTGCAGGCCTCGCAATGAAGGGGCACACAAGAAACCCGCCGAGGCGCGTGCACTGCGGGGCATGAATGGCGCGCACGCAGCCCAACCGCTTGTCGCTTCCCATTTCCAAGGCAAGCACGTGCTGAAGTATACTCGTAAGGCGGCTGGCCTGAACGCGATGAAGGGTCCACTGGCTCCACAATGTCCATCCAAAATCTCAAGTGATACTTGCTACTAGGTTGGAGGCCATCGCCAGTAGGTTAGAGGCCATTGCCACTAGGGGCATGCAGCTAACAAGTGGCTAGAAGTAAATGTGTCAATAGCAAGTGGCTAGATGTAGCTTAGCTGTAGGAAAACTCAAGACTTTTTGGAGGAACTCCTAATTAAGAACCTTTTTGGAAGGATTCACGAGCAAAGTCAACCTGACACCTTCTTCTTGTCCTTGCAGTTTCTATATTAATGTGTTTCTATGCCTTCCTTTTCAACACTCCAATTGGTATTGATGCCACCGTTTCAGACCGAACATGCAGCTTGACAAGCCCACTCCCTCTCCTGTTCCCATTCCCTCCAAAATCTGCGCACTGCCATCGCTACTAGGTTGGAGGCTTGTTCTAATTAATCAGCCATTTGCAGCCTTTCTAGCATGGTAAAGCCTTAGCCTCCTATAACATCATGCAAAGTTCCTCTTTCTGACGTCACTTCAATTTTATCCCGCAGGCGCTCCGTAAACTAACCCGCTGCAAACAAGGATTTTGATGGAAGGTTCGAGAAGAGCCAATAGATTCAATAAAAGCTACTTGGAACAAGTGCATCGCTACTAGGAGCAAGGGCCTTACTAGTAATAACAAGAAGCTATTACTTCAACACGATGTCCGAGCAGGTCGGCCCACCTCGCCACATTGGTGCGGTAACCTCAGCGAAGCGGATGATGGTTTCTCTGCATTTCTCTACACGCTTCAGCTGGCCTGACCAAATGCTGGAATCCCACTCAGCTTTGCGGATTGGATTCTTCTTGCGTGCCTCAGTGGTTCAATGCCAATGCCAAACATGGCCAAGCAAACAACTTTGGATAAAGCTGAGCAGCTGCCACTTTCTTCTCCTCGGTTCATTGCCATGTTCAATACCCTACACATTGTTTTTGCAGTCCCTGCCCGAGGCGACTGCTTTCACGCCCCATCTGGGAGGACCGTCTGCTCGACGTGTCTGCTTGCCAAACAGCGCCTCTATAAACCACATCTGATTTCCAACACGAAAGAAAGCTCCAAAGAACACGAAACACCAAGAAACCCATGTTGAATACGTGCCCAATCCAGGGCGCATTGCACACGTGCTCTGCAGAGAGGCCATGCGCAGCTCCTGGGTCAGCTCCAGTGATGGAAAACCTCTTGGTGAACCTTTGCTACTAGCTTCTTGTTACTACTAGTAAGGCACTTGTTACTAGAAGCGATGCACTTGTTACTAGTAGCTTCTTGTTACTAGCAAAGAGAGTCAGCATAAAGGTCTATTTTTCTATGGGCCCGTATTAAAGAAATCCTTAAAGGGCGCTTGCCTCTTGTTTCCCCTCTATTTAGGCTGTTTACTGCGAAGTAGTTCTTGCACGACAGCAGATGTGTTCACCTGCACAACTGTATCTACATAGATGCTGATTCTGCTGCTGATGATGAAAAATCTGTAGCTCTTGCATCATCTGCATGGACTCTGTGAAGTCTCATCATATGTCACAGCAGTTGTGTCCGTGTCCTGTGCGCGTTGATGGTGTTTTGCACAGTTGTGCCGCGATGTCGGCCGGGTCTCCAGGGTAATCCAAAGCCTTCAGAACACGCGACCGGGTCAAAGCATAAAAGATGATAAATACTGCATGTTGTTTCTAATAGCTACTTGTTCCTAGTAGTAAGGCACTTGTTACTAGAAGCGATGCACTTGTTCCTAGTAGCTTCTTGTTTCTACTAGTAAGGCCCTTGCTCCTAGTAGCGATGCACTTGTTCCAAGTAGCTTTTTATAATACATTAATCACAAGGATTGAGAGTCTTCGCATCAAAAAAAGGAATTGCTTCGAAAGAACTCGGCTTCGCCTCTAAGCGATGAATGAACTCTTCGACAGGGATGGGCTCGGCGCACTGCGAAAGAGCACACGGGGCATTCTTGAAACCAATTACCAATGGAGCAATGTTCGCTACTAGGAGCAAAGGGCATCGCTACTAGGGGCTCCTGGCCCTACTACTAGGAGCAAAGACGCTACTAAGAGCGTTCTTGCTCCTAGTAGCGATGCCCTTTGTTCCTAGTAGCGAACATTGCTCCTAGTAGTAAGGCCAGGAACCCCTAATAGCGTCCTTCCCAAAAGCAATGGCCTCTAAAAGCAAACCGGAGATCTGTGCGGTTTGACACCCGAGATCACAGTTGGCAGTTCCAAAATGGGGGGGACGTGTTGCACATTGAGCTAAGCCTTTCATTAGAGACCTGGAATTCATTTGAAAACACAACACCACGTCTAAGCCTGCGCCCAGCTTCCAACGCTGTCATCTACAAGGCTCAGCCTGGCCACAGCGACTGGCAAAGCCGGTCAAAGGCCCAAAGGCTTCAGCTGTTGCAACAGCAATGGCCTCCAACCTAGTCGCGTCCTTGCTCCTAGTAACGTTCTTGTTCCTAGTAGGAATGCCAGGAGCTACTAGTAGCTTCTGGTTACTAGTAGCGATGGCCTCCAACCTACTTGCGATGGCCTCCTACTGAATGGAGTTGGCCGGTATCGGTTTGAAGAGTGCGCAGTGACGATGGCCCGACCGGACAGCGGTGGTTCTTTCAGGTCACATGAGTCACATGCATCACGCTGAAGGATGTGTTATGTTCTTTCATTCATCATCCGCCAAACTCACTTAAAGTTCCAAGTTAGCTGAAAGAAGAGCAAACGCAACGAATTTCGAGTTCAAGTGTTCTAGTCATCAGCCGTTGGGAGGAGGGACCTGGAGATATAGGAGGCGTGCTCCAAACTGACTAAAAAACTGGAAGAAGGGAACTGGGAGAAGGGTCCTGGAAGAAAGTGTAAGGAAACAGCAGCGTCAACTGAGTTTGACAAAGCGTATCAACACGACATGAACGCACCGCGACAAAAGTTCAACGGTCTAAACGTTTTCCTCGAACTGAGCCCAAGGCGCCTGTGCCGGTGACACTCTCTAGCAAGGTCATGGAAATGCTTTAGACTCTCTTAGATTCTTGAATCAAGCCCGTCAGCCCCCAAAAGATTCTGTTTCCATGACCTTTCAAACCAACTTTCATCCGATTCTCCGACAACACTGACTGTTCCTCTTCTATGCAGAAGCTGTTTGTTCTCAACAATTCCAACATAGGTTCAACGTGTGCTCCCTGCAGTTTTGTCAGTGAGTCTGCTGGGTTTCTGTTGTGAGGGATCCAGCGAGGGCGGCCAAGCACGACCGTGAGAGATTCACGGATTATGGCAATTTCCAGCGAAGCTCGATCGTCCTGGCCTTGTGGCTGGTCAGAAAGGAGGGCATCAAAGAGTGCCTTTGCGTCAACTACAGCAAGTGCTCGGGGATCCACAAAGGATTGGCTCTCTTTGGCCAAAACTGTCGACTTTCCAGCGAGGCTCAAATACTCGTCTTCGGTTCTCTGACGGGATCGAGGACAGTAGTTTGCCAGCCGAACGCTTTCCATGAATGCATCCTGTTTTTCAAGAGCGCCAGTCGCTGCATGGATATGGCTTCGCAGAGGAGTGATGATGCGGCCTTGCGTCTCAATCGTTTGCTCCGCCATTGCATGAGCGATGTTGGTGATCTCTCTCCCAGGTTCATGCGGTCATTGGTGAATCCGAGCAACCAACCATGTTGACTCTTTTCGTGTCCTGACGTGTCAAAACTGCTGTCTGCAATTAGGATGTGTCTCAACTTAGGCTCTGGCACATGATGTATTTTCAACTTCGCGGGGAATGTCTTCAAGTGTCGAACCATATCGTTTGCTGCGTTGATATGACTGACACAAGGTTCTGGGAAAGCTGATGCCAGAATGCTCGCGGCAGCCGCGCTGTCAGGGCTACCCAGTTGAGCGATGCGATCAGTCCTCTCAGTTGGGACTTCTCGCCCTCTGTCAACTTTACAGATGCAGCATCTTTGACTAGCACTTTCCGACTCAACTGAATGGGTTCCAACCGGGTGAAGATGTATTCGTCCATTGAAATCTCGAAACCAAAATCTTGAAGCTGCTTGATGTGCCTTCCCGCATAGTTGCTTCCCGATTCGGATTTGAGATCCTCAACCTTGCCAAATTTCAAAAGGGATTCAAGTTGTTGCATCTTTCGAACGTGCAGTGGTGAGCCTGCCTCAGCAATGTCGTCTACTTCAAGCACAATGAACCCTTCGGTCTTTGCTGATGGACTAGCATCATTGCTTCCCAATGTCAACACGCAACGGTCGTAGCTGTTCAGGGAGTATCCAAGCTGTTCAGTTGCGATCTTCAGGAAGCTTCGTCTCCACCACGACGGTCCACTCACTAACCCGTACACTTCAGTGAGCAGCAACAACAATTGACCCTCTTCCAACCCTGGCAAAAAGTTTCGTCTTTGGGTTGTCTCACTGCTAGTTTCTTCTCTCTAGTTGTGGGGAGCCATTGAAGAAAAGCAGTTTTCACATCTTTCACTCGAGTTGCCCGTCGCCTGGTTGCCGCCAGCTGGAGACAACAATGGAGGCTTGTGCTGAGGGGCGTTGGGCTGGACCTTTCAACTTCATGAATCTGAGGGTCCATCCAACCAACAACACACAAAGTCTGGATTTTGGACTCTGCTGATCCTGCTCAAGCTCGCAAACACCCATGTGCCCTTCTTGAATTGCTCGGCGTTTGTATTCTTCAATGGTGCCTGCTCCAATGTCTTTGGGTTTGTACCGATCAACAAACTTGGACTCAATGACTTGGTCAGGAAAGTCCCGTTCGAAGGCTCGGCTCTCAGACAAGGAAAGCACTCGGACGGCGCCATTGGAAATCAAACTATCTAGCTCCTTCTTCCTAGCTTTTCGAAAAACTTCCTTTTCTTTTTCATCCAACTTGCTGAACTGCACTTGACCAAAGGAAGCCTTTGACTTGGCCACATAGTGACACTTGTCTCGGTAGCAGAAGGAGGAGGCTTCGGCATATGCCCCGTGGAAGGTTTTACCATCGGACAGGGCTCGTGGAAGAAGGACAGGCTTTCTTTGCTCACGGTCGAACCTCCAGGTGGCTCCGATGAACGGCGTTTTCACTCCAAGGTGGCCTCGACGTAATAGGAGCTCGGAGATGGCCTTGGGAGTGGTTGCGTTCGTCGATCCATCGGATACGGCATTGGCGCTCCGACAGGCGGAGTCTCTGGCGCTTCATTCAAGCGACCGCTTGATCGTCGGATGGGACCAAAAGTCAGGGACACATCTACATTCTCATCCACCCGAACGGTTCTTCGAAGTGGCTCACTGGCGGTTGCCATTGGCGATGATTCTTCAGGAGGGTTTTCTTCTTCAACAATGCCTTCCATTGGGGGTCTTCCGTCGGCAGGTTCTATGACACTCACTCGCCGGCTGGGGTTGAGCGAAGTCGCTGGTGCCGAGGATGGTTCTTCGGAATCCAGCTCCATATCTTCTGGCTGATGTGTGCTTTCGGTCTGGCTGACGGGCGCTGGTGCAGGTGCAGCCGGGTATTGTTCACCAGGAGGATCGTTTTCTCGAACCCGCAACACCTGTCGCACCGCATCTCCGTCAAAGTCGTCTTCGGCCGGACCGTTTTCCTTGGTGATGTCTTGGTAGACAATTTGCCCTGGCTTCTTTAACTTTTGGAGCATTTCTTGTGAGAGTTCCAGGATCAGCTCTGCGCCCAATTCCTCTTCAGGCGTTGCTGGCCTGATCTGCTCTCTGCTTGCTTTCCACAGACGACCTCTCATGGAGACCCAGGCTGAACGGTTTGTGAAATCCTCAGCGATGACGACGCCCGGACCCACCCAACCACGGTATGATGGGGTATCCCGGTAGACATAGATCCACGTGCCAGCTGGGATTGGCTTGAGGTCTGCCGTTCTTGACTGGGCCTTGAGACTTCTTCGGATTGAATCCTGGTCCTGTCGTCTCAACCACTCCCTGGCTGCGGTGTCTCTGATGGCCCATGAACGCTTTATGGCGTCTGGGGCTGCAGCTTCAACAAGGTCCCGGTTCAAGGTGTCGGTGGACAGCAAGGAGGATGGCAGTCTCAGGTTTCTTCCAAACACTCTCTGGATGGGGCTGAAACCAAACCTATCCATGTATCTATTGCGAGCAGCGACCACTTCTGCTAGCACTGTCTGAAGCTCTTCTTCTCGAGATGCAGTGGTCTCGTGGATGGTGCATCGCAGTTTTTCTTTCAAAAGGCCTCCTGCTTTTTCCGTTCTCGAGTTTTGCCACGGAGACTGGGGATCAGTGTAGTGAAGACCAACCCCCAGGCCTCCCACTGTCTGCTTGAAGAGGTGGTTGTCGAATTCCTTACCCCGGTCAAGGATCAGGAGGTTTGGGGCTCCAAAGGGTTGCGCCCAACATCTCATGAATGCCTCCAGTACTTCTTCAGCGGACTTGTCCTTGCAGATGTAGGCCTGCTGGTAGTTTGTACCCCAACAAAGGACATTATCAACACAGCAGGTCGTTTCTCAGCTATGCATTGGAGTGCTCGTTTTCGATCCTTTGGGCTTCGAAAGTCCCAGCCTGTAGTGAGGTCCATTGCAATGGAGGCTTTGAACCCCTGCTTGCGAGCTTCTTTGGTGCAACGTGGTGGACTATAGACTTCCCCGATCACCTCATTGAAGTGGGTGAGCTGACCAACCAAGCATTGTCGCTGACCTTTCTCAAGTGTCTTGGGCTCTCCATCAAAATCAGTCCTTCCCAGCTCTTTGCAGCTGGCGCCAACAAGGTAATTGAATTCTTCTGACTTCTGCCCGTCAGGGCCTTCAGCCTCCAGCCGAGGGCCAATCCAGTCAAGTTGACAGGTTGAGCCTGGGACGAAGCACAGCACTGTGACACATGCAGTGAGGGCTGCCACCGCCGATCTCTTCTGGGACGGGCTCATCGACTTGGATGAAGGTCCACTTGCCTTAGGCGTTGGGCATGATCGTGGTGGCTTAGACATCGGAGAAATAGAGCTCGTGGATGACATGGAGCTCTTCAAAAGGGGAGGATTCTGGCTAGAAGCTTCCATCGTAGTGCTCGTGGTGCGGTTTTGAGACGTGGGAAGTTCAGCCACATGCTTGGTGTCCTGAGCAATCATGGCGACACCACCTGGAAGTTGCTTCCTGAAGACAGGTCCTCGCCGGAGGAGAAGATTTCGTGAGTCTCCACTCGGTCGCTGATCCTGGGGGTGCGAGGTCGAGCTCGGTCCTGGATGGGTCTCACACTCGAGGTCTCCTTCTTGCGCTTCTCCGAGCTTGGCGACCGGTGGAAGACTTTTCCTTGCGTCTTGGCATTCTGTTTCAACAAGGCTTCTAGGCGTTGATCGGCTGTCATCTGCTCTTCTTCGGTGTTGGACGCTGGCTCCAGTGTCAGCACTGGAACATCTGGCCGATGTCAAGTGGTCCTGGCAAGGTCTTTGGAGGGTTCTTGGCATAGGAGACGATCTCCTGCTCGACGGGAGTTGGAGCGTCCTGGGAGGAAGCTGCTCCAGTGTTCAGCGCCTTGTCCATGTCCCACTCGAGCCTTTCCCATCGCGCTCCACAGTCGAGACAGGTCCACCAGTGCTGGCCACGCCCAGCGCGCATTCGAAGCTTGTCTTCTTCGTGGGCACATGTAGTTGGTTCCTGTGCCCATGTCTTGTTGGCCTGGGAGCGCGGCAGCTCCCGGCCGATACCTCGACGCACCTTGCCATCTCCGACCTGTTTGGACTTGCTCTCCTTCTTGGGAGTGGCTGCACCTTTGGTTTTGGCCGGATAGGCCTGGCTCTTGTTCAGCAAGTGGTCCATCGCCGACTGCTTGGTGGATGGATGATCAAGGTGATGATCTTCAGTACCATTCGGTGCCAGGCGCTCAAAGTCTTGGCCTGGCCCATGCGTCTTGGCTTTTGGGCCTGGAGGTCTTCCTCGTCCTCCTGAGCACGCCATTTGTTGAGCCGGTTGATCATGGTTGGCTCGAGGAATTTGGGTCGAAGCTTGAACCTCTGATGAGCCGTGCATGGACCGACTTCGTTCTGAGTCGACAAAATCATTCACAGCTTCAGACAAAACAGTGTTCGTGACATCACTTGCTTGCTTCGCTCTCTGCGCACAGACGGTCTCACCTTTCTCGCACTCTTCCCTGTTCAAGGACCCCGCCTGCATTTGGTTGCTTGCAGGGCTGCGGTGAACCTCACCGATGTCAAAACAGAGACGGGTAGTAGACGATGTCACAGGTGGTGAGGATGGTGGTGAGGAGGATGAGGACACATCTTTGGATTCAACGCCAAAAACGCGCAAAACAACCGGTGTGCAAGGAGCTTCAAAACATACACTGCCTGACCAAAAAGGGAGTTGGCGTTGTTGGGGAATAGTCCATGCTTCATACCGATTGAACTTGCCCGAGTCCTCGAAGACCGCTTGTGTGGACCTAAAACGAGAGAGGAGGTTCACCTGGTCGTCATTGAAAACCTCGGAGGGGTGAACCATAGTCTTGCGAGGAGGAAGGGCTCCCATGAACACCATGGCCGAAGATCCCTGCAGCTTCAACCAAACTGCCACCCCGGGCTGTTGCGTTGGGTTCTTTTTGTCACCGGACTGGCGCTCCAAGTGCAAAGGAGAGGAGTCCTGAATGCCAAGGTCTGAGCACAGCGTGGGCGGTAGAGTCCATCGCCCCTTGAACTCCAACACTGAGATCGTCCGGTGTCCCGAAGGCGTGCGCCTCATGGGAGTCTTGCGGCCATTGGCCATGAGAAAAAGGTTTCTTTTGGTATCAACTATGCCACCAACCAACTCAATGAATGAGATTGGAAGCAACAAAGGGGTTGTGAACTGAGCCTCATCTTGGATCTCTGTGATCCTCAACAGCACATTGCGCTTGCAAATGCCCAGTGGAACATCGAAAACACCAGCGACTTTGGCGTTGCCTCCAATGCCAGCACAAACAGTAGTTCCAGCAGCTGGAACTGGTTGCAAGCCAAAGCGTAACAACGCAGCTCTCAACTTGTTCATTGCATTGGAACCGATGACACCTTCTTCCGCTGCGGTGTCCACAACTGCTTCTCCAGCTTCAGTGACAACGCCAGCATAGACCTGCAAGGCCCTTGCTTCAGGCATCTTCAATGCACCCTGTAGTTGACCAATGTCACAATGTGCCATCGACAACTGCTCAATGTCATGCGACCCAACCGACTGTTGTTCAATGTTGCTCAAGCCAACCGACTGTGGATCAACGCGCAAGTCACCCGATCGACCAATGTTGCTCAAGCCAGCTGATCGACCAAGGTTGCGCAAGCCAACCAACTGTTGCTCAATGCTCAAGCCAACCGACCGACCAATGTTGCTCAAGCCATCTGATCGACCAATGCTGCATTGCATGTAAGTTCTCGCTTGATCACTTGCGGTGCCTCTGCACACGAAGAAGGTGTTGCTCCTTTCATTGGGACAGTCTTTTGAAATGTATCCCAACTCTCCGCAAGAGAAGCAGCGAGTCTTTGCCAAAAGATCTTCTGGTGTTCCACGGTGGGCTGATCCTCGGCCAATGCCGGGACCTCCACGACCTTTAGAAGGTCGTTTTCCCTTGTTCTTTCCTTTCCTGACCACCCCACCGTGACCTTTGCCTTTTGGCTTGAAGAAACTTCTGCCTTTTCTCCTCGACTGCAGCTCTTTCCTGATGTCCTTGTACGCACTGCTATAGGCCCAAATGTAGGTAGCCTCCTCTTCAGTGTATTCTTGCTCAGGATCGAACAGCAGGAAGTTCATTGCACCTGCCTCATCGGTCTCCTGAGCTTCTGCCCATGGGTCATCAGGCAAAAGCTCTTCATCTTCTTCCTCATTCTCTTCATCTTCATGCCACTCGGACTGCTCTGCATATCGGCCTGAAGATCCCGTGACAAAGTTCTTTGCCACTTTGCTGATGAGTGCTTCAGGACGATCTAGGGGTCTCAGGGCCGAGGCCGCCTGCTCGAAAGTCAACATGGCCTGGTACTTGATCGCCGTACTTTCTCGTTGCACGTCTGTCAATGCAGCATGTCTCAACAGAACCCGTCCAGCAACTTTCGACGGCAGCTTCTCACCTAAATTGCTCTCCAACTCTTGCAGGGCAACTTCTTTTGCAGCAATGTAGGAGGAGAAAGTGCCTCCTCTCTGACGCTCTCCAGCATAGAAGAAGTTCTCGATGGCTGCAGGAGCTGCTGCTTCAATGTAGGGCCCATACTTCTGGAGGATTGCTGACAACACTGCACTGTACCCCTGAGGACTTGACAAAATGCCAATTTCTATGGTTTCGCAGAGTCTCCGAGGAATGGATTGTTCCGGAAAGCTTTGCATGAGTTTCAACCCCCAACGCTCTTTCGGTGTGTTGTTGTCCAGTTCCCAAAGCGACAACTGTCTCAACCAACTGCGCAATGTTTCCGGGGCACCCGACCAAGAGGGCAATGCTTTGCGGTCTCCAGTCAATGCAGCTGTCAAAGCCTTCATGATCACAGCGTTGCTATCGCCAGGAGTTTGACTTTGGACAGCCGGAGTCTTGCCCAGAATGTCAAAAGCGCTCTGAACTTGGGGAGTTGAAGGAGGTGCCATAGCCATGTTCAACTGTTCCAACATTGCTGCACTCAATGTCCCTTGTGTTGAACTCGACTGCTGCTGTGGAACACCTGGAAAAACATTGCCAGAGCCATTTCCGGTTGCCAGAGGAACATTACTTCCCAAGTTGGGAAAACCTCCAGTCTGTCCCTTCGATCCTTGAGGATTCGGGGCACTAGGTGGCGTCTGACCATGAAAACATGCGCCAGGTGTGAAAACTGGTATTGGGCTCGAAAAAGGTGTGCTATGGTAGCCTTTCCCAACAGCCGTGCCTTGTAAGCCAAAGTGACCTCTTTGTGAAGCGTCCCCTTGAAAGCTCGGCTGTGGTCCACCACTGGGTGAGCTCTGAGGGCCCTGTCCAGTGCTTCCAGGCGGCTCGAAAGACATTGGCCTTGTCGTCGCACCTTGAAAGGACGAGTAGGGCCCTCCTGTACTTTGGCACCCCATTCCAGCATAGCGACCCCACGGGTCCGACACTTGAAGTGGGTCCATAGAGGCAGCCAGTGGTGGAGCCGGGATCTAGCCCGGCTCCGCTGCCACTGTAAGGAAACAGCAGCGTCAACTGAGTTTGACAAAGCGTATCAACACGACATGAACGCACCGCGACAAAAGTTCAACGGTCTAAACGTTTTCCTCGAACTGAGCCCAAGGCGCCTGTGCCGGTGACACTCTCTAGCAAGGTCATGGAAATGCTTTAGACTCTCTTAGATTCTTGAATCAAGTCCGTCAAAAGGAATTGGGAGGAGAGACTTGGCAGAACAAAGCTAGAACGAGGGAATCTGGAAACAAAGGAACTGGAAAAGAATCGCAGAAGATTTGTTCGCACTCTTTCTGTTTTTCGATTGCGGCTGCACTAACAGAAAAGCTTTTGGCCCTCGAGGAAACAAAAGGCTTCGTGGATATGTTTTCACTGATGACCACCCATGTATGTTTGTGTCCCTTTCCCATATATTGCTTGTTGCTCCATGCGACATCATATTGCAACATGCCCCATAATGAATCATGTCCACTTGTAGTCACTGGAGCTGGACACCCCGGGCCACGTTGAGTTCCGTGGTAATTACACCGAATGCAGTGCTGCACCTGGCCCCCCCTTCGTTCGATAAAGAACAAGGGTGATCCAGATCTTTTCATGTGAACTCATTCTTTTGGAACCATAAAATGAACCAGGTTTGGAGCTGCGCAAAATAGACTCCACCAGGAAACAAAATGCGTGCTGGTCTTGGATGTTGAACCACAAAGAATAAATTTATTCACTTCTTCGAACTTCTTCTCCTAGTAACCAGTGCATCGCTTCTAGTAACAAGTGCCTTACTAATTAGAATTAAATTAGAACTAAATTAAAGCTTCTTGTTACTACTAGTAAGGCACTTGTTACTACTAGTAAGGCACTTGTTACTACTAGTAAGGCACTTGTTACTACTAGTAAGGCACTTGTTACTACTAGTAAGGCACTTGTTACTACTAGTAAGGCACTTGTTACTAGAAGAAGAAGAAGTTCGAAGAAGTGAAATTCAGAATAGCGATTGCCTCCAACCTAGATGCAGGGGGCAGGCTGTGGCGGAGAAGGCAGGCTGCTAGTTACACCTAGCTACACGGGGGGTAGCTTCCTTGAAGAAATGTCCCACAATTGATTGCGCTTCTGATGGCAAACACATGCAAAAACCTAAACATAGGTGTTCTTGGTTGGAGGCCATCGCTAGTAGGTTGGAGACGGCAAAAACCTAAACATGTTGTTTAGGTTTTCTGACTTTTCTTGACGTTTTCTCGAGCAGTCGCACTGCTGATTCTTTCACTATATGCGCATGCCTTCTCAAGAGCTCCATCAGGTCAGCGCACACCTGTCTTTTTTCAAGAAAAAGACTGTGTGCAAAAAAAAGAACATGAAAACAGAACAGACTCAACTAGTAACAAGAAGCTACTAGGGGCTCCTGGCATTGCTACTAGGAGCAAGGACGCTACTAGGGGCTCCTGGCCATACTACTAGGAACAAGAAGCTTCTTGGTACTTATTGTTTCTACTAGCTTCTTGTTACTACTAGTAAGGCACTTGTTACTACTAGCGATGCACTTGTTACTACATGTCGCAAAACAAGACTCGTTCGAAAGAGTAGGAGCCGAGAACGTCTTTTTTTTCTCCATTTCGCACCTCCACAGCCCAGCTGCGCAACAAACGCACTTCCAATGTGAAGCCCTGACCACGGTGATGAAATCAAGCGGAAGGGTAGGCCGTAGAGGAAGGAGGTAGCTAGGTAGCAGAAGAGGTAGCTAGTAGCTAACAAGCAGCTACTAGTAGGATAGCTCACGCTTCTTCCAGGAAGCTCCGCCGCCCTAAAGGCGGAGGGGGGAGCTTCCTTGAAGAAGCGCTCGCACTAATGATATGGTTTCTAGATTGGTAGGGAGAACCAGTTGTGAACTCCTTACTTTCCTTTCATATGCTTTCCTCAAAAGAAGAAACGCGCAACAACTTGCAACAAATATTATCTTTTCTCAATGATGTGTTATCGTTTCTCTGGCCTTCGCACAGCTGGAAGCATCACATAGCTTTTGCAAGTATTCGAAGTCGTGCCAGGACACCCGGCCGAGGCCCTGATGATCCAGACCTTGAGTTTTGAAGCGTTCCAGACTTTTTATGATGGACATCTTGATTGAATTGAGAAATGTGAAATAATTTGAGACATATTCATGAATGAAAGCCAATTATGAGATAATTGAGATTGATTGCGTTTGAGAGCAAATTGATTCTCTTTTTTTTTCTCCTTTTTGTTTGCTGCTTCATTGTCAGCCTCAATTCTGGTGCGATTCGGTGAAATCGGACGTCAGGCGAAGCACGGATCTTGGGGCGAAGCACGGTCCTGATCGAGTGGTTTCTGATCGAGCGAACTCCGACGCGTCGGCATTTCTGTCGCAAAAGCGAAGAAAGGCGTTCGGGAAGAACGTGGCTTGGAATTTTCGAACTCAAACAGCTTGGATTCGCCATTCACCTCAAGCACGTTGGACTTCACCTTCGGAAGCTTTCACTTCTCAGTGTCCATGAAATCTGCCCAAATCGAGGTCACAGCAAAGGCTCCAATCTCAGCGAAAATTCCCATGATTTGACTTGGGGACGTATGCAAATCCTCCCTCACTTTTGTCAAAGTTTCACGTGTGCACCAGAATCCTTCAGCGTCCATTCCCTTCAGGACCCATTCTTCCAACTTGTCGTTGCACTTGCCCAGCTGCACCTTGTCAGGGAAATTACAGGAAGAGGTGTGCAGAAAGAAGGAAACATCAACTGTTTTATGTACGTGTTTCAGCTGACTCCTGGCTGATGACGTCCAATTGCACAGCTTGGGACAAGGCCAACTGCAGCTGAGGCCAAGAAAGTCGTTGTCCAAAGTTTGCCATGGTTTTCAATATGGCGAAAAGCTTCACTTCGGGCGACAGGGCCTCGAGCGCCTGGCACTTGGTGCCAGCACATGGGCCAGAGTCAAAAAGCTTGTAGTAGCTTTTAAGCAACAAAAGGAAGAAGACACACATTAGCAATAAACTAAACACATATATTATATATATTGTGAAGATGTACGCTGTACATCACTTTGTTTCATGAAACCACATGATCCGTCCGCAGAGGGCGGGCTCAGCACGCTGAAAAGGCGCGGACGCGCGGCCCCAGTCGGTCGCCCTTGTGCTTCGACGTTCGATCGTCGGTTCACCTACTTGCTGGAAGACTTCGTGCGTTTCCAGTTTCTACATTGGTAGCGGAGCCCGGTTCAGGCCGGGCTCCCTACCCTGCGCACTTCGCGACGGCTTCCCGAAGGCTTGGAAGAAGCCCTACGTCACGAACGGTTCCAAGAGCTCTATTTTCCTGCCTAGGTCTTTGTCTGGCTGTTTTTCTCATCCGCTACCACATCACCCAAGCGAACCAGCAGACCTTTGAGGAGCTCTTTGGCACCATGGCCCAAAAGAAAACACCGCAGACGCAGGCATCCGGCTCGGCGGGAAGCGGCTCGGCAACGGGCTACCTTGACCTCAGGGACTCCTATGTTCCCATCTTCAGTGGTCAGCCGAGTGACTACAAGGAATGGCGGCAGCGGATACACTTGTATCACTGCAAGATGTCCATCACCAAACGTGGGAATGAAAGCGTCCTGAACATCGTGGGCAGCTTCACAGGCCTCACCTGGAGACTCTTCCAGGATTGGGCATTGGAGGATCTCGAGAAGGCAGAGGCCTTTCCGAAGATCATAGAGGTCCTCGATCGGAACTTTGCCTATGACGCCAGAGTTCAACTTCCCACGGACTTTGAGGGATACTTCAACTTGTTGCAAAGGCCACCAGGTCAGACGCTCCTCATGTACGTCAACGACCATGAAGAAGCATACCGGAAGTTGGCGCAACATAAAGTTGAGCTTCCTCCCTCAGTCCAAGGATGGCATCTACTGCGCAGAGCTGCCTTGACCAGAGAGCAGCGACAGATGATCACGCTGAAAGCACCTGGCCTGGAGAAGAATGACGTGATCGAAGCGCTCTACTTGGTCCTGGGGCAGGATTACAAAGGAGGTGGCTGGAACTCTGATCGCAACCGGCGATTTCAATCCTCCTGGCGTTCACAGAAGGCGTACACCGCCGATGACTATGCCCCAGAAGATGATGGTGATGACAGCTGGGACTACGGGTACTATGAAGGTGATGAACCCTGGCCCGAAGACAACACCCAGTATGACTACGAGGAACCGTATGACTTCGACCAAGACGCTGGCTACTTTGGCGAAGAACCATGGGTTGAAGATGACCCCAATGGCGAAGTCGGTGACCCTCAGGCTTTGGCAGATCAATATGATCAAGCTTTCGCCTCCTACACAAACGCCAGAAAGCGCTTCCAGGAGCTCAAGATGTCCAGAGGTTACCTTCCTATCGTGGCACTCACTGACGGTCAGCAACAAGGTCCGACTTCATCCACCTCTCCGACTACAAGTCCCACAGGTTGGCGGAGCAAAGGAAAAGGGAAAGGCGGTGGTTCCAAGTCGGGCAAGTCAAAAACCACGATTCGATATCCACCACAAGGAGGAGGGAAGTTTGACCCAAAAGGACGAGTGAAGGCCAACCTCAACTGCTTGCGCTGCGGCCAGCCTGGCCACTGGGCTGCAAATTGCCCACAAGGATCGACCTCGCCATCAAGGTCAAGCCTCAAGCGACCAGCGTCAGCAACTGAAGGCATGGCATCTCTCACCTCGCCTCAGGAGACGGCTCTACTCATCTTCCAAGACAGCAGTGGTCAGGAGAGACCCGACTGCACGATGCTGGATCCCGGCGCAAGTGCTTTCCTCTCCGGCTATGGCCCCTTCAGGAGATTGGTCGAGCATTACAAGGACATCAACTTCCCGGTCAATGTCATCAAGATGACGAAGGGCAGGCGCAAATTCCAGTTTGGAGGAGACGCCTCACTATGGTCAGAATGGAGTGCCCACATTCCAGTGTTCGTGGACGGGCGCTACGGCACGATCGAGATCTTCCTCTTGCCGGGCAACACTCCAATGTTGCGCGGAAGGCCCATCATTGAGGCCTTGGGCATGTCCATGGATTTCGCCAATCGGCGCTTGAAGATCGGCTCATCTCCCTGGCAACCTGCCGTTCTCGGCCGACAAGGAGAATATCTCTGGTCACTGACCCAGGAGCACGACATCATGCAGTATGACCCCGACAAGCCAGAGTTCGAGCTGAGGACAAATGATCCCGACGTCCACCAGAAGGATGGCTATCTCCTCAAGGACTTCATGCTTGAGGAACAGGTCTTCAACAGCTCGGAGCCGATGAACATGAAGCTGAACAGCCACGACACCAAACACCTCAAGAAGCACGAGCTGAAGACCATGGACGTGACTCTCACAACACAGCTCAATGAACTGTCGGCGTACATCACCTGTGAGCTTCATCGACCAGAACGCCCACGAGTCCTATGGGAGGTTTACTGCGGTAAGGCAAGAACTTCAGAAGTGGCACAGTCGCTTGGCATGGAAGCCCGCACCTTCTCCTATGACACCGGTTGGGACTTCGACCAGCTCAAGCACCAGACCTCCTTCCTGGAACTGCTCGATGAAGAAATGCCAGACGAGCTGCTGATTGCCCCAGAATGCAAGCTTTGGTCCCGCATGCAGTCACTTGGAAGGCGGACACCCGCCCAACAGGAGGCATTGATTGCAGCTCGACAGCGACACCACGACAGGCACCTCATGTTCGTCAAGAGATCCTACCTCAAACAGCTCTCAGGAGGACGACATGCCACCATCGAACAGCCCAAGGATGCCTTGTCATGGCAGACCCAGGCCATACGCTCACTCCCTGGCCGCATCACTGACTTTTCGCAATGTCGCTATGGAGCTCAATGTCTGGACACCGACGGTCAATGGAGGCCAGTGTTGAAGAACACACGTCTGCTCACCACGAAGAAGACCGTCCAGGAAGCTATGTCCCTGCAGTGCCAACACGACCATCAACACTGTCACCTCGAGGGCTCAGCGACCGGATACGGAGTCAGAACTCGCTATATGGAGGACTACCAACCGGGTCTAGCAGCCACTTTGGCAGCAGCCTTGAGCCTACCAGAACCACCACAATCGTGGGAGAACGTGTATGCCACCACTGAGGAGAAGGAGGTGACAGGCTCCCTGATCCGACTTCAGGCAAGCACTCGTCAAGAAGCCATTCGCACTGTGCAGAAGCTTCATCGCAACTTGGGACATCCCTCGAAGGAGGCACTCACTGAACTCCTGGCAGCTCGCGGTGCATCAGAGACCATTCTTGAAGCCGCTCGTGGATACACATGCCTAGCTTGCACTAAGTACAAGAAGCCAGCTCAAGCAGCACCGGCTTCGATGCCACAGTCCACCACGTTCAATGACACCGTGCAAGCAGATGTCTTTTGGCTTCGCCGTGGCAGCTCCAAGTTTCCAGTGATGAGCATTGTGGACATGGCCACCCGCTACACCTCTGCCACACTACTCCGTTCGGAGCAGACTGAAGAGTACATCAAGGCCTTCGAGCGATCTTGGATCGCACACTTTGGGCCTCCAACCAAGCTCATCACCGATGAGGGACGCCCTTGGCTCGGGCGCATCATGGACGACTGGACGACCTCACACGCCGTCCAGCACATTGTGGCACCTGGTGAGGCCCACGAACGACTTGCAGTGGTGGAACGGCGTCACGCCATGATTCGTCGAGCCACGGAGATCTACATGGATGACCTCAAGCTTGACAATGTCAGTGGAATCAGAGAGGCCCTGACCTACATTGTGCCCCAGATCAATGCCACTCCAACAGTGGCAGGGTTCAGTCCTTCACAGTGGGTCCTCGGACATCAACCTCGCATGGCCGGTGATCTGCTATCCGATCATCTTGAAGCAGTTCATCTTGGAGGACACCCGGACTTCGAAGAGACCTTGACCAAGAGACATGCCGCCAAGAAGGCACTACTGGACGCAGATGCAGACCGCAAGCTGCGTCGAGCCCTGAGCCTCAAGTATAAGGGCATCAACACGGAATTCCACTTGGGCCAACAGGTCTTCTTCTGGAGAGATGCCCGTCAACCTGATTTGGTGAAAGTCAGATGGCTCGGACCGGCGCACATCGTCATGAAGGAGTACAAGAACCCTCAAGAAGCAAACAGCCCAGTCTCTGTATACTGGCTGGCATTCAAGAGCCAACTCATCCGATGTGCACCACATCACATCAGGCCTGACATCAAGGCCGTGGCACACTCTCTTGATGACACGCAAGAGGCACTCAACAAGGTGAGACAGCTGAAGTCTCGGGGCGTGACCAGGTACTACGACCTGCACCAGCTCAACCGGAGGAATCTCATGGACGTGGAGGAGGATGAACATGGGGAGTCAGAGAACTTGCACTCAGACTCTGATCATGAGATGGCTCCACCCAGACAGCGACCACGGCTGTCCATGGCACCGCCCGAGGCATCCGCCGACAGCCCAACTCCAGACGGAGAACCTGGGCAACCAGCGGCACCTCCACCAGCATCAGAGGCACCATCGGGCGATCCGACTCCGGCAGACACCTCACCACCACCTGCCGCAGTTCCGATCCCTCCAAGCGAGATCTCACTGTCCGAACCAAGCGAAGAACCACCAGCACTCTCGGCAGCACCCACGCCACACGGGGCACCACCTCAAGGAGTACTACCAAACAGCACGGCACAAGTACCACAGCTAGATCCAGCAACAGCTGCACTGTACGAAACAGCAGGACCAGAAACATTCGAACAACGAAGACGCAGGTTCAGCCAGCAAGAAACACTGAGCTTTGCACCCTGGCGAACAAACAGACCAGCACTACCAGAACCGTACCTGACAGCACCACCACCGGCTACAACACCTGCAGAGTCAGCAAACATGACCTACCAGGACACAGAACACGGCTTCAATGTCGAAGGTTTAGACGCG